CAAGACTGGGCAATCTACCTCTGTAAAGATTTAACACCTCAGAAACACAAAGGAGGTTGCTATGAATCAGAATAAACTCAATGAGAGTATTTCCATCCCTGCCCCCCTTGGTTTTTGGTATGACATGTTTAAAAGTTTACTTCATCCTTTGCTATTTCTGTGTACTGTGTTGAAAAGAGGATGGTAGTGTGTCAGTCTTAGGGATTTTATAGTCACTGAGATCTGGGTTTGAAACCCAGTCTAATTTGAACCTCACATTGACTCTTTTACTTAATGAGCCTTGAGTCCCCTATGTCTGAGTAAGGATATGAATATGAAGCTCTATAGGGAATTTATGAAGATTAAATCTTTTAAATATATAACATGCCAGTGACTTAACAAGTATCCAATAAATACACTTCCCTTGCACTCTCTTTTCTTGCAATGGTTCCTTTCCCCTGGATAATTACCTTTCGGTTCTTATCATTTCCAGAAAATGGTTCCTCTAGATTGTATTCTCCAGGCCTTTCAGTTGCTCTGCTCAACCCTGAATACAAATATGAGGAGTAAAAGAGAATGGGAAGAGGAAGAGGAAAAAACAAAACGAAAGATTTCATTAGAATCATTACAACTATATATCATAAAAATCGAATCAAATAGACCTTGACTCAGGTAAACATTTAAGAATGCTTCTGTCTTATTAAGGCATAAACATCAGATGAGCAGGGCATACCTAGCTGGGAACAGCCAAGATGTGTGCAAGACCTTCCTTGTCTGTAGATAAGGCAAGACACGTAGCAGTGAGAGCCTGGTGTTTGCTATGGCATGTCACATTAGAGCTATTACAAGAAAAAGCTACCTCCATACCCAAGGTGAGTCTCACTAAAAAACCAAACTCACTGCATTTGAGCGGATTTTGACTCACAACGACCCCTGCTGGGTTTCCAAGGCTTCTGTAAATCTTTACGGAGGCAGACTGCCTCATCTTTCCTCTGTGGAGAGGATGGTGGATTCAAACCACCAACCTTTGGTTAGCAGCCAAATGCCTTAACCACTGTACTACCAGAGCCTATAACCTACCCAAAACCCATTAATATCAGACTTTATGCTTACAAATGAATGTTTTAATTCCCAGAGTTCCCTTTTAAACGTTTTTGCACTTACTTTAACCAGGTTGACCCATTCAAACCATTTTGGGAGCTCGTTTGAGGACCCTGCTTCCCAAAGACCCTACTTGTTTTCTTAAATATCTTCAGTTGCAACGTACGTGACACATGGAAAATACATTTGTTTTCTCTTAATATGGAAAGACTTGAGGCACAGTTGGGTGAAATATGGTGAATGAACTAGATGGTCACATTTTGCACCACAAGGTTTGATCCAATTAGGAATTGGTGAGGCTAATATTATGGTACAGTAGAAAAATATACTTCCCCCAAGCTTTTCCTGAAATATAAGAATACATATCATCTTTGCTATTAGGTTCCTTATTCAAGATGTGTAGCATAATCTTTGTCCAAATTTCCCTAGTGTTCAATTTTCAACCAGATTGATTCTGTCATTCAGAATCCTCCTGGCCACTCACCTTGAAGCAGCCTGTCCACTGGTCCAGATGGATGGCCATTTCAGCATCTTAAAACCTGGCCAATGGATGAGAAGTTGGTTGCATTGGACAGTTCTTAATAGACGTTTTCTCTGGGTCAGCACTTCATTTCCAAAAGAGCTCTTTGCCAATAAACTTCCCTGTTCTGAATTTGCATCCCATTGCTGTATTTACATGAGGCATTCAAAACTTCATCACTTCACAGCCCATGCAAATCCAAACTGCATTTATCATTTTCACACTTCTATTACTCTTTTTTTTATTATTATTAATTAATTTATTTTTATTTGGGTGAAGATTTACAGAGCAA